AAGTCCCCCATAAAGCAGCGCGAGCCGCGGCGTGTAAATCCGTTTCCCCAGGCGGGAAGTAGCCCGCAGAAGGCGACGGACGGACGAGGAGGAGGAGAGGGAGGAGGTGCGGGATTCTGCGAAGGGCGAACGTGAGGCGCCCACGCGTGAGGACGCGGCCCGCGAAGACGTCGGTAGGCGAACGTGGGGAGGAAACCTTCGAAGGGCGGTGCGGGAATCGGATCGGATACGCGCGTCGCGAGGCGCGGAAGGGAAAGGCAGGGGATTCGGAACGATGGCGAAGAAAGAACGAGATTTGGGAAACAGAATCGGACAGCGCCCTGGGACTGAACGCGTCATCGCGGCGACAGAATCCTGCAAACGGTATTTTTTTTTCTCAGGCCTCATGTTTCGCCGATCGGCAAAACCGTCGAGGCCGTACAATCGCTTTGACAGCGAAGAGTCTTCTCGCAAATACATGTGTGATTCAGGCTAACCTGGAGATAAAAGAATACATAAATAATTTTTGAAAATATGGAATGATTAAACATCACTTATTGTGAATCCGAGGTATTTTATAATCTGCAGATAATTTTGAGATATTGAGTTGTGAATTCAATTCCAAAATGTTCTTCATTCTATTGTCGTTTTCAGATTAATTAATAATCATTAGAGCCCAGTTAACAGATGTTTCTGTACCTGAGTGTTTTAAAATGTAAATATTATGTATTAAATGGTTCATATTTTTTCGTATGTGTATTTCTCGACTACATTTGGGGATACAAACCTGTGGCATGATATTGATCTATTCTGAAAGTGCCTCTTGCATTTTTTAGCAAGTTTTCATTTGTAGTTGTGAATATGATCTTTCTCGACGCATAAGGGCACAAATGGAAAAAAGAAGATGATGTGTCATAGTGATAGGTCAAGAAAAACAAATACGAGTACGTATTCGAAATGTCAGGAAACGAAACATTATAAATCAGTTCTCTGCTGAGTTTTAACGTCTCAGGGCAATGAGTGCGATTTTTTTAAAAAGTTCTTTACTCATATTTTTCTTACATCCGTCCGCCACAGATAAGACAGCTTTCTCATTTGTCATGACGGGTCCGCTACTGCACTCCCGCTTCAACGTAATAGTCCCTGGTTTACAACTCCACTGCCACCAGTTCCTTCGGGTCCAATTCCTCTCAAGCATTCAAATACTCCGTTCGTCCGAGCCCCAGACTGTTACTGAACTGTAAATTCTTCAGTCTGTGTATAAACGCAACGAATTTTATACCGATTGATAAAACATAGGAAGGACCGCGAAGGTACTAGCATCAAAAACTACTCGAGGAACAGTCACGTATTACTTGGCTGAGAGAGAACCCCGAATTGCACGACGTTCTTGGTTCAGACACTTGGTCGTAATGCTACAAGATGTGCTCTTCTTGTATCTCGCATTTAGAACTTTTGAATCTTATGAGAAGAAGTTCAAAATTTGTTCGGAGAAAACGATGGATCATGAATGGATTTTACTTTTGGTTCTGTCATCGAGGTAACAGCTAAATTTTGAAGCTTTTTGATGTCTTCCCAGTATTTGTCTTCACAAAATCGTGTGAGGAAAAGATTGATTTTCCCTTAGAACTTCTAACAACCTCCGCGACAGACGTCAAGTTGAACGAAATAAATTGGACAATTGTCCGATATGCGACATGTGTAGACATTCATAGGCAAGTATTTAGACATAAGTTCTTTTTTAGCATTCACTCTTTTATATTAGTAATATTAAAGCTGTCTTACATATTAATTACATAATTAATTAGCTTGAGAACGTCTTGAAAATTACATAAAAACATAGTGAATTATTTTGAAAGCTCGATTTATTTACGTTTTTCAGTATCACAGAAGAAATAATAAAATATTAATGCAAATTTTGACAAAGAAAATTTGTCGGAATATTTTGTGTCAATCATTAGTAAAATTTACAAAAACAAAATTACATCTATCGAACATTATAATAATATTCTTAATATGGCGTAAAAATAATATCTCAAAATATATTTTTCCTCAATCTCGTTAAAGAAAAAAACTTCACGTGAAAACTACGTTTTTTTTCTTTTAAAACAATTTACGCAAGTAACAAAATGCACGGGTAGAATCTTCTTGAAATATAAAAACCAATCTCCCACTTTACCTGGAACTTTTTCTACCTCACGGATATATATTCGAACTTTTTACAGGAGTTCCACCCTGTGAAGGAGAAATGTACAAAGAAATACGAATACATCAACTAACACACCGTCCGCCTACCAGCTGCATTAAGACCTTCAAGCGCTCCTTTTCCATGACCACTCGTTTTACACCTCTTTCACTTCCAAGGGGCCATGTTTTGGTAATCCTCTTCGCAAACACGAAGTCACCAGCAGCTCTGAAATTAGTGGACTATCACCACCATTATTTCAGCACGATAATCGATACATCTCGATAAACACCACATTTTCACCGCTATCGTGTTCAATATAAATTTTTGTCACTGCAATTTGTTAAAATATTATCTCAATAGTACTATCCAACCATATCTTGAGAAATCCTTTTCACCGGGACATTCGATGACGATTACCTCCAATGCAATCCCTCCTAGACATACAGATAGCCGCCAAGGAACACGGGATCCACCCTCACCAGAAATGACTACGCCGCCTTCTTCAAACCACCGTCATCTCTGCAGTTAACGCTGTTATTGCCATCGCAGTCACAGCTGTCACCAGAAGAGTGTTAACCTCTACAGCCATCACTGCCGCCAATATCGCTGCTACCCCCATCACTGCCACTCCCATCACCAGCTCCGCCGTCACCATCACCTCACCGCCGCCGCGCAGCGAGGTCGCTCCACACCCGGAACTGCCCGGTGTCGGCGACGCGGCATCGATGGAATCCATGGCCGACTCCGCCCTCCGTCGACTCCATCACGCTCCCGTCAGCCGCTCCTTACCGGTCGCCAGGGCCCATTTCGTGCCCTTCTCCAGCATCTCGCCGAGCGGAATAATATCACCATTAATATTCAACCTCACCGGCAAGATTTTAATTAGTACAAGGCTACCCCGCTCTTATTACTCGGCAGTTTGTTTTCTTATGTTTCGGTTTCCTTTTTCCGCAACCGATCTCTTTAGCTACCAGCACCTCGAAGATGTTTTTTTTTCACGCACGCCCCACTCAGCTTGTCACGACACAAATTTACCTCTTCATTACGTCGATGGGATATTGGAGTTCACAAGTTACGACGGAAATTAAGTGACTCTATCGCGCTGGACTCTTTATAAACGTGTACCATGTAGGTGGTCGTCGCGTTCGGAGAGTCATAAAGCCAAGCTGAATTGCATTGTAAATAATGGGAGCGTAACGGGTCGGCAGTCCGAGGAGTTGTCGGACAGGTGGGTGCGAAGGTGTTGACAAGATGTCGCTCCATTCTCGATTTCTTATGTAAATGCCGAAGTAGCGATCCATGTTATTCACGTGTTAGGAACGTCGGGTTTTAATAGAATATTTAATTTCCTCCTACATTCTGAACTATGACAGGTGTAAGATGTTCTGTAAACTATGATGGTTCTGTCGATGATTTGACTGAAAAAAGGAAAGTGAATCATGTGCTGCTTACTATTTTTTTCTCTTCTCTTCTTTTTACCTGTACATGTGAAATTATTGTTGAACTTCAAATAGAAATCATTTGTTCGATTTTCAACACACATAAAATCACAGTGAACATTGACACAACAGCCAAACGTTTCATGAAGTTATCAAAATGTTTTAAATTCATAAAAGTTTTCATAACTAATTAAAAACCAAACAATTTCTACACAATCAATCGCTGATTCTATAAATATATTGATTACAGAAGAATATCACAACCGAATATCTTACATAAACCGTGAAAGTATCCTTCATTTTCAGAACTTCTGATCTGGTCTCATTTGAACCACCTGGGCCTTTTCGAACGCTCGTAAATAACTGTCGAAAAAGCTACGGCTTCATCGCGCCTCCTAACAAGAACAGAATTGGAAGTGACAGAAATTCCACATAAACTGCACGCAGAAACCCCGCGAGCCGCCGCCGCGGCGCGAGCTTTGCTGGCAGCTCTCCGAGCAGCCGGCTAATCGGGGGGCTTCCGGGCCGGGCGGCGGCAGTGGGCAGCGGCGATGGGCACCGCCATGGACACGGTCCTTCGGGGAGAAAGCGCCGTAAAATGCCAGCCGGCGACATTTTTACGGCGCTGATGGGCCTATGTCCGCGCCGCCGCGGCCCCCTGTTCGGCCGAGCGGTCCCCGCCGCGCCGCAGGACGCACAGTGATACGAAGAAACTCCAAACGTGCATTTCAACCACAAACAAATAAACAAGCAAATAAATAAAGATAAATAAGTAAATAAAGAAATAGGAAAAGTGAAATTGTATAATTTCGCTTTTAATATTTCACTATTAATATAAAATGAAGATGTATGAAATGATATATATGATGTGATAATGACATCATGTAATCAGATGATAATGATGTAATGATGAAATTCTCGTGTGCAGAATTTTTATACGTTTTGTGAATTTGTGAAACAATTTAGCCAACGAGTGTGGTAAAATGTAATAATAGCATGCATGAAATCGTCAAATTTTCACAGAATAAGCTCTTATGCAAGTTATTTTTAACGCACCATTTATTTTCGAAGTGTTCATAAAACCATTCCACGAACTGACAGAAATTAAAAATTATACTATTTAGTCTGCGATAGTTGAGAGTATCACTTTGTAAAGCGTTCATTATACCTCTCTAAATAAGTAACGCATTTCGACATTATAAGTATTTCCCTTCCAGAGAAGGTACTTTACTTGCGCCTTTCGGCTCATTTGGAAGCAGTGTCGTCGTTCAAGTTGTGGTTACGTGTACGCGCATTCCTCGCCCGTTTCCCGAAGATTCCGTGGCGCCCGCTCGGAACCGGTCTCATGGCCGCCTCCCCCCCCCCCGGGGGGGGGTCAGTGCAGCAGCGACGCAATGCGCAGACGCGGATGCACCGCTCTGCACAGGGCACATTCGAAGGTGGCATCCGGGAACTCAAGAAAAATAGGTTTGTTTCTAAATGAAAGTGGAGGGATGAACAACAGGAGAAACGACACTCGACAAATTGCTCACGAAAGACTATGGAGAAAAAAAACTATACACTTGGCAACCTGGGACGAAATGTGCGCCTGTCTTGTTATTGCATTAAACTATTCACAGCCAGAAGTAATAATTCAATAAAAACGAAGAATTTCTTTTTCGAAAAATAATAGAAGAAAACGAACTAAATAATGAATTTATCATTTACTTCCCCATTAAAAATTGTTAAATGTGTTAAATACCAGACCTATACGCTGACACTACTCTATTCCATCTCTGCATTTTTTCATTAACTCGTTGGCTAAACTGTTTCGTAAGTTCACGAAGAGTACAATAGCTCTGCACACGAGGATTTTATCATTGCATTTTTAAATCTTTGACATAGGAACTAAGGACGCACGGAAATACATAGTTAAAGAAAATTTGGTTGCTTTGGAAGAGTCGTGTTGCACAATATTGGTGCGTTCTTATATCTGCAAACTATTTCTGACGCATTGCAGCGCTGCTCTATTTACCATCCCTCTTAGCGGACTACCTAGATTTTTATACTTCTTCAACAACGCTTCTTTCTCTAGTAATATCATAATCATATCGTAAATATATCCGGTCCCACCAAGTCCAGCGCCTTGTGTAGACCATCCTGTTCCTGTAGGCGACAAGAGGTGTGATTTCTTAATCTTGAGACAGCTTAATATTTATAGTATACCCGTGTGAAAAAAGACAGCTGAGAGACATAGTAAAAGCTCATCGACTGTGGCTGTTACTAAACTAGTGGGAAATTATGGCATCCTGTTAGTGGAGAGGAACTTCCATTGTGAGAGGACGTTAAAGAACCACCACCAACTCTGAGACGATCTTGTTGACTGTGAGTGAAAGTTTACTGAATAATTTTCGGGACCCAACATGGACGTCATGACGTTTGAAGATCTCGTATAGAAGAAATAACAGAAGAGAGAGATATTAGATGACTTCCTGTATTTCTTCATAGAAATATGATATTCCAAGACTTCGCAATATTCGTATTCCTATACTATTCAAAATGATATATACAACACGTAGGACGTCTCAACTCTCATAATGTTACGTGACATACAGGAACACGGAAAGTGGCCATCCATATTGTATTTGTTCAAAAGCTACAAAACTCACGTAATTCATACTTATTACCGAGAAAGTAATGCTTTCAGGAAAACGAAGCGTCAGGTTGCCTACTAAACAAGAAAGACTAACTCGTTTCAATCTAGACTGCTTTCTAAAAGAAAATAGATTTACGTTTTTCCTACAATGACACCCAGCGCTAGTGTATTCTCTTACGAAACGACGACGAAAGTGTAAACAGCGATTTCCAAATAACATCCTCTTCGTGCACGCGTTCATCTGACGGATTACGCAACGTAAGAACGAGCACGTTCGTTGCTTTTCAAAAGGAATTTTTATCGAACCGGTTACCTCCCTAAGATAGCTACATCGTACCAAAAATCCTTGTACGCAAATTGCGGAGCGATCTGATGACACTTAGGATTAACTTTTTCAACGTTGTTATCTTAGATTGGAAACTGGAACTTCAATACATGTTGGTGAAATTACCTTCGAAATAATGTGTCCAGTTGATTGCCTTGTGGAGGGGAGGAGGTCAGAGCGAATCGCATCGTTGTCATGGTCGACGGCAAAGTGACGCGTATGATCGATGTAGTTTTGCCTAGAGACTGAAGCTATTATTACTCGCTTGATCGAGCAAGTAACCTTGTCGTTATTTCATTAGTACGTGGAGTCATCCAAGAACAAAGTTCCAGGGTTATAATTTTTTTTCAATATAGAAGTTAGAAGTTAATTTGATGAATTATGAATATAAACCCTTTTAACAACATAATAAAAATACTATTATTAATACAAATATTTATGCATATTTACAAAAATGTAACCTAAAACTGATAAATTAGTTAAAAGTTAATACAGATACGACTGAAAGCATGAATAACAAAAAAAGAAATAAGAAGATAAAATTTAAGAAGGAACAAACATTCACAAACAATGGAGAATAAGTAAAAGGTGAGGAAACCACTAATAAATGAATATCAGTATTATTTTTCGCCGCTTGCAAATCAGATTTCTATATAACACAAAGTGAATGTGGCGTAAAATTCTTAAGCAACTCATTTTGTTTTAAAGATATCACATATTTCTAGTACGATTGCCCTCATTAAACACAACAGTGACGACACCGACCAGGAGTTGAAGAAAATATGATTATGGATAAAAGTTAAGTGTGTTCGTCTCGTGAGATAATTCGTTTAACTCAATTTGTATTAATTGCCATTGCTTTATGTTCTGTAAGCCGTGTATATCGCATACCCTCACACGTAAAATGAGATAGAATATTGTTTATTCTCACTGTATGAATATAGACAAAATCTATAGCATTAATTTCGCATGCGCGCAGAAATTAAAAGAAAAATGAGCCGCCTATAGCCATGTGAATTGTGTCATTGGTTTTGTATCACACCCAAGAACTCGGAAAAATCCTGAACTAACAAAGGAGGTATTTGATTTTTACAAAAACTGCAAATATTGGATTATATTATTGCGTTTATTCTCAAATTGAACAAATCGGTTAAATACTCCTTTCGACTACTTACTTACTTACGTCATGCGACAATATAGGTCCGATGATGAAACTGCTCCAATTAAATATTTGCTGTTCGTTTGTCGCGTTACAAACTAAAGATTTTTTTATATTTTTGTATGGAAATTAGTGTTGTACTGAATGGATACTATACTATGTTATTAGAATATTAGTGAAGATTGTTTTTGTTAAAGAATTTAATTTATTGCAAGGTTCTTTTTAAGCATTTTATTTGTCGTTTTAAGCCGTATCCGCGGTAATTGTAGGAAAACCATTTTGGGTGGTTTTACTCAGTAGCATTTTTACTGCTATAGGCCACTAGTAGTTATTAATGACATCAGGCCACAAGAGCCCAAGCAAATAACGGACGAGTTTGACGTTAGTTAAACAAGGTGACAACAGTTGTTTATAACCAACTGATCTCGTAATTTGTTTTATCGGTTACGTATCTTTCAACATTTTTCATAATACTACTTCCTCATTAGAAACTTGTCATATCAATAATGAATCTTAATACATTCACTTACCTCTGAGTTGGAATGTTCATACTGTATATTTTGCTGCCACTCATTTGTTTCGATTGTTTTGTCTAGTTGCGTTATGTCGATATAACCGTTCAATATTACGAAAACATTCTTACAACTGATTGAAATGCCATTATTTGGTGGATATATCGCTACGACACTGATCTGTGGCAGTGAAATATTTTCAAATACTACGTTAATTTTTTAAAATTTATTTATTCAACCTTCTCTGCTCTTTGTATTACATTAAATACATATCTATATACATTATTTGCATCTATATGTATACTATATTAACTAATTACACACTTAATTTCCTAATTTTAATTTTGTTTTCTTTTAAATAATTTAATTTTCCCACACTTTTTAATTTTTAACGCTAATTAATTATTATTCACGTCGCTTATGAATATTCATTTTTTTTCATGTACAGATTTACTTAAATTAATTACTAAATTGTGTCTTTGCCTTGTTCCTATTGTTTATTGCTCTCTCTATGAATTTTATTTTCAATACGTCTTATTGTCTCATTTTCATTATTTAAAAAGTAAGCGTTTTATAATGAATTCTGTGTTTTATTAACATATATTTCAGAATTCCTAGAATGTGTATCACTGGAGTCTGACTAACGCGTTGAAATGTTACCTTCATTCCTTTATTGCGTTGTATTTGGAGTATTATAATTTCCTTTTTTGGGGGAGAGGTATGGTGTCGATTGGTAATGCACAGTAATACAAAAGGGTCCATTTATGGGTTATTATATATCAAACAACATGTATGAGCTTCATCATCTTGTATGAATATTTATGTGTTTCCAGCAAACACACCAGAACGTCATCCAACGCCAGGCCCAGTCCTAACCCGTGTGCTTCTTACCGCCCGCAGGTCGGCACAGTGAAGAACACCCGCTACATCACCGTGACGTCGACGTTCGCCAAGACGCTGACGATCGAGCCGACGAGCGCGGCGACGGCGGCGGGCGGCGCGACGGCGGCGGCGGCGGCGCCGGGCGAGGAGCCGCTCACCGAGAACCTGCTGGCCAGCACGCTCGCCCCGCACTACGACCGGCGCGAGCCGCTCGACTCGAGCATCGCCACGCTGCCGCCCATCGCGCTGGCCGGCGACGCGTCCACGCCGCCGCTCGAGACGCTCACGGAGACCTTCAGCACCACGCAGCTGCTGCTCAAGACGCACATCCTGCCCGTCATCCGCGACGGCACCAACACCACGCGGTGAGGCGCGCGCGCACTCGCGGGATATTCGATTCGCTCGCAATATGGTAACACGCGCGGAAACACGGATCGGCAATACGCCCTGAGGAAGGTCGCAGAATGGCGACCGAAACGTCGGCACCTTCGCCATGGACGCGGCGTCACCCGGACAGCCTAGTAAATACACGCGGAAACGTTTTCGAGATACAAGCAAGTGAACATTTTTGCTGGAAGGGGCTTAAATGGAGTATGTAAAGGTAACAACTAGGGGATATTAAAATTTCCGTGCGCTTCCATCTGCTGTTCATGCGCTATGATTCTCAAATTGTCCAAATTATGGTGCATAGTTTGGTCCATGCGCTATGTTTCTCAAATAGCTCAATTTATGGAGCATAGTTTGGACTATTTGAGAACCATACCGCGTGTACAGTAGATGAAAGCGTACGAACATTTTAATAACATAAATCTATAACTTTGAGAGTTACCATCTTTTACTCCCGGGCCTTTCATTTAGAGTTTCCGACAACTATTGTGGTCATTAGTTCCGTAAGTTATATCCTATGAGGTAGAGCTTTCACAAGAACAGACTTCGACATACATGTCGATTAGCAAGTTCTCCTCCTCCAGATGTATCCTCCATCGTAGTAGCGCTCTAGCTGCCGGGCTTTTGCTGACATGTACGGTAGTATAGTGCGTTTACCTGTACCTGTGTGTAAGGGGAAGTAAGGGACGCGGACGGCGAAGGAAATGTCGCCTGCGTTTCGTGGTCTGTTTGTTAGGGTAGTGCCCCGACATTCACCTCGTATTGATGGGAGAAAAGATGGAAAAGTAGTCGGCTACTTGAGCTCACCTTCTGTACGCGGATGAATTCTAGCCAGCTATGCAACTTGTGTCGACAATTCGCCTCTGATGGTAATTGAACATACGGCAACCCATTGAATGATGCAGCAAACGCATCGATGTGGCCATTCAGGTATCGCATACCAGCCGATGGTGGGGAATTGGGATGTTGCAGATGGTTGTGTAAAGTGAAGGGACATAATAGTAGCTAACATTGTGAATACTAGAACTGACTGCTAGATGTTACAATTTTACTGAGAAAAAAATACTGCAAGACACTTTTCTTAGTGAAACTACGCACTTCTCTCTCCTTGGAGGTGGCAATTAAATGGCGTATAACCCTTCACCAGTAGACGTAAAGCTTTCAGAAAACTGCCGCTGAATGACCAGTAATTTACATATTAATGATTTTTTTGCTACTATCTCCTTCATGTGCTTTGTTCCTCTTGTTGAAGAAACTCAAAACGTGTTTAAGAAATATCCGTTCAATAGTTAATCAATAAAAACATTCTACTTTTACACAGTTAAATAGCATTGGATTGTTTCGTATTGCGTCTCGTGTACACAAGAAAAAATACAGAATATTTTGTAGAACGCAAGTTCGCACTTGCAATATGTTCTTAGAAAGGTTGGAAGCCGTATTTAATCAATAGGAGAGAGTAACGTATCTCATTGTAAAGTATCTCGTTCGGATCATTAGTATTAAGAAACTATCCGTTACATTTTGAAATGGAGTCTCTTTAATTATTCTTCACATTATTCTTTTATCTTTAAAAACTACGTTATGAAGTACATTATGAAGTACGTTGAGATGTAGTGAAATTGTATTGTGTGTATTAATGATAATGCACTATTCATGTTTTAGAAAATAAATATCTTATATAATTAGAAATCAATAGATATGACTACTACAAAGTGATTACAATTGTTAAATGGCCCTATTTAGTCTTAATAGGAGGGTAATATGAGTGTCCAATTCCGTCCGCAGCTACACCCTGGTGCAGTCGTACCACGTGACGCGCCTGGTGACCGCCCTGAAGACGCTGCCGCCCATGGAGGTGTACCACTTCGTGCCCAGCAAGACGCTCACCGACCTCAACACGCGCCTGGAGGAGGCGGGGTCGGAGCTGCACCTGGAGCTGGACTTCGGCGAGGACGAGGAGAAGGAGGCGGAGGAGCGGCCGCTGGCGGCGCTGCGGGCGCTGGCGCCGGACCTCGACCTGGCCAACGTGGGCTCGGACTTCGACCTGGCCGACGTGGACCGCGCGCGCCTGCCCGAGCTGCAGCAGCACCTGCGCCTCAAGAAGGCCCAGAAGCCCGACGGCGCGCCGCAGAACCAGCTCCAGCAGCAGCAGCCGCAGCCGCAGTTCAGCCCCGAGCAGCTGCAGCAGCTGGCGCTGCTGCGCTTCCTCAACCCGGCCGCCGCCGCCGCCCTCCCGCAGGTACGCCCTCGCGCGCTCAGCTGTCTGCCGGCCTCACGTGACCATGCCATTATATATTACGTACTGTAATCAATTGTCCTGCGAGAATCCGTTTGCTGGTTCGTTCAAACGATCGTTGGCTCCTCTGTTCAAACGATCGTTTGCTAGTTTGTTAAGACAATCATTTGTTCGATTTTTCCAACAATCGATTGTTAGTTTGTTCGTTCATTCTTTCGTTCAAAAGATCGTTCATTCATCCACTCATTTATTCATATATTAGTTCGTTCATCCGTCTCCCACAGTTACACCCCTTCCGGTCCCGTTTGGAACAAGAGAAGTGTTATTGGTTGCGTCTAGGTCTACTGGTAGGAATATGGACATTTTACGTATCCTTCTAATCAAATTTAAAAATAACAACAACAAAATAATAAATTAAAAATACTTTTAAAACTGTTTGAAACGTCGAAAGCGCCATAGTAAGATTGTTTATTACTATTTCTAAAAAATGAAATACATTGAAAATTCTTAAAATGAACAACATTGATTACTTTCTGTTTGTTTGATGTATATAAATGAAATTATTTATTGTAATAATTGTACCTTCTTTCCGTTATCCCTAGAGACTAGTTTTGTGTGCTTATCTATCGAAAGATGTTGAATCTGGGCATTCTCATCAAGATGAGATGAATGAGGCAAATGAATTCTCATCAAGAAATACTGATGAACTTTGAGTAAGGGAAGACTAGGTTAACTCATTCAACGTGATGAATTTAGATATTCAATCAACAGCAATCATTTGGCAATGTTTTTAGTTTCCTTCTTCCTTCCGCAGAACATATTCTTACAGACATACAGGCTTACAGACATATCCTTGGAGTTACATGAAACCAACTGAAAATTTTGCTAATCTTACGTAAATTATTACGTAATATATTATTCTATACTCATAAAATGTCGATGTCTTCAAACATCACTATCTAGTTTTTGCCCTTTACAAAGACGACGTTTGTTCAGCCTTGAAACAACAAATAAGAAAAGGAACAAAGACGGTTATCTGGACGTTGTAAATGAGAGATCGCCGCGTCATAGGTGCTAGTTAACACATGCATTCCTTAAAGACTGATTGTCGAGATCCAATCACAGGCGTGAAACCATGAAGGTATTTAAATAGGCGACCATTTATTTCTGGATATGATTTGCACTGGGAACATTTATCAACGTTCCTAATAGAACGCCCCTTTTCGCAGCAGACAGCCTTGGCAAATTTTATGAGCATTTGCCTACAGTAAAGTTACTGAGAAACGAATTGACTACATTGTTTTTGTGTGCGCTTTTGATTTATATTTTAATTCCAATAAAATCTAATACTAGTGTTTATTTTTCCTGCTAATTAAAAATAATTATAATTGAAAAGACAGAAAAGAATTATTGTTTTTCAACGTATACTAGTGCTGGGGCGATGTTTACTACTCGTCATTAATTATGTTGCTTTTCTTCAAGTTCGCGATTTCTAGTAAATCATGTAATGACCAATTAAGTATATTTCAAATGTTCTTAATTGAAAACAACATGACCAGGTTATATATTATTGGGACATGACATCGAACACTGATTCATTTAGGATTCCAAATATAATTAATTTTGTTGTTTACAAATGTTTCTCATATTTAGTCTTATTTTATTTATACGATTAATTCTCAAGTTTATTATTGAACAAATTTAATATGGCATATTTAGTTTCTACACTAATTAATTCAATATTTTTTATCGAGTAAGGTGCCCAATAAGGTGAAAGTGGCTGAGCCACACAAATATTAACTGATCAATCAACGATATTCAGGAGATAAATGATGACACAATACACAAATCATGACAACTAAATTACACCACTCTTTATTGTAGAAATTTTATACAAACATATTATTTCTAGAAAAATGTCAAAGGATTTTCAGATTAAGTAAATTACAGGATTTTTAATAAATTTTTAATGTTACTTTCAGTTTAGTCATGAAAGAAAAAAAAGTTCCTTGGAAAGCGTCCCGAAAACGTACAGTATTTTATTCGTAGTATTTTAAGAGCCAGGAGCCGAAAACTTACAAAGGTGTCCTCCATTTCATTGCAGGTGATCACCACATCGCGACCCGTCGTCAAAGTGGAAACCCTGTACGAATCGCACGTGATCCCGGTGTTCAACGGCCAGCAGACGAGCTACAGCACCATCTCGCGGCCGGTGGCGACGGTGAGCAAGACGGACTTCGAGGTGGCGACCACGACGCTCCCGCTGCCGCCGGTGGTGCCTCCGGTCGTGCCGCAGAACCCCCTGTTCCCCAACCAGCAGCAGCAGCAGTTCGCCATCACGTCGTCGCCGCTGGTGACGCAGACGGTCGTCACCGCCACCGACAGCAAAGTGCTCAAGCTGACGTTCGGCGCCAAGACGGCTTACACGACGCTGTACTCGACGCGGCTCGTGCCCACCATGCTGACGACGTACCTGACGGGGTCGGTGGCCGTGCAGCCCACCGCGCCGGCATTCGGCGGCTTCTTCCCGCCCGCCTACCCGCAGTTCCCCTTCGTGGGCTGAGCGCCCCCCGGCGCGCCACGACGCAGCCGTCGCCCTCGCCGCCGCCGCAGTCGCCTGCCTGCCTGCGTCTCCATCGAACACGACACCAAAGCTCAGCTCGCAAGCATCGGGCCCTCGCGGTTCCTCGTATGACTCTGCCCCCACAGCAGTCGTTCACTGCCGGTCGCGTTCTGTTTCCGTTACTTGGCTGGTTCAATGACCAACGTCGTTGAAGACGTTTATTATTGAGCTGTTTCTTGAGCAAACCTGTTTGTGTTTTTTAACATGCTCATTTACAATTTACTATTAATAACGAGGCATGCGCATCGCTAATCGTATGCCTCGCTGTTCTTCAGCAAGTGACAAGGGAATGTTTTCTACGAGACTTCGCTAGCATAACTCAACTTGGAAGAAGCAATTTCGGGATGTTCCCATTCGGTCGTGGCACACCCTTGATGTGTTAATTACCTCGTCTGTAGTACCTCTTTGGAAAAGAGCAAAATTTATGTCCGTTTTCGTGAAACGCCGTTTGTACTTTTCTGTTTACGACGTAATTCTCCGGCAGAGAACGACGGTAATCCACTAGCGTTTACATAAGCGCTTGGGGCATCCTACGAGGAACAGCGGGGACCCACGTCACCCCACACCCCCACACCAACCCACACGCCCCCTCCCCCACGCAGGTGGCTCCTCGGCACCCGCCCCCGCCGCCGCCGCCGCCAGCGCTTCCTGGCGAGCAGGTCGCGCGAACCAGTCCCGCACTCGGGGACACGCCCCCCTCCCTTCGGACACTGCCGCGGCGCAATACCCCACCTCGGCGCCGCCGGTTACCACTGTCACACCCCCTCGTTCCTTCCAGCTCCTTCCAAAGAAAACTCCCCGTCTTCGGTGAAAAGGCTCGGCTCGTTCAGCGTTGTGGATTTTATTTATTTTGCATCGCGCCCTCGTTTCGGGACGAAACCTCGTATCGTTCAATCCGTCCCGGAAACGTGCTCAAAGGGGATAAGGAGTCTCTCTCTACATTATCTCTCTGTATTATTAGTTTCTGCCTGGTGCGTGCGTTTAAAAAAAAATCTCGGAAGAAGAAACCTTTTCTTCGCGTCGTATCCAAAGGCTTGTGTGCGTGTGTAATGCAATGAACGAATGAATATGCGTGAACGTTTTGTGCGTACTTCAAAGCGCTGGAGAGGTTCGGTCGCTACAACGAAGAAAAGATGGCGAACGGATCTCTCGAGCAGGATTATATTCGGTTGATGTGGTGGAGGATATTAAGCTCAACGAGGGAGGGGATTTGCTCTCGGATGCCTCGAGACACAACAGAATTTCGGGATTCTCACGATTCAGTCTCGAGCACCAAGTATATCATCTATTAAGATATCACTCTTGGATTCAGAATTTTAACTTAGTCCATTAATGCAACATAGAAGCATTTACGAATTCTTGCTCTTATAATGCATGTCAAATATAATATCTCGAAATTGGTGTTCGATTTTTTTATATTAGATTATATAAAAATACTTTTTGCAATCAATACGTGATTGTAAGAGACAATAATGTTTCATTTTCTAGAAAATTCTTGAAATTTTCCATTTTACAGTTAAATATCTGTCCTCTCGAAACCATCTCAAGAGACGCACCAAGATTCCAGTCGCCCGCGGAATCTCGAGATATTCCCCGTCCCAACTAACTTCCCCGCGTGAAAAAAAGTTGGCGCTCGAGAACAATCCCGTTTAGCGCAGCCGTTAACAGCGGAGCGTCGCGTGCTCGCGCCCAGCGCTCTCTGTGTATATAGGTCAGTGGTTTCGGGCGGGCGCAAGCACGCGACGCCGCTGTTCCCCTGCCCCGCCCCACCCCCACACCCGCGTCGGTTCCCAGGAGGCCGAGAGTCCCCGCGCAAACTGCGCAAGTTTTAAACTGCACCCTCTCGGCTCGCTTGGCGGTGGCCCGAACCGCGGCGTCAGCGCTTTTGAATAATACAACACCGAATATTTTCTCGACTTCACTCGGGATAAGTGGAATAAGGACGCAGTTGTTTCCAGCAACTTGACTTCTTTTCAGGTAATAAAGAGCGCCTAACCCTCACCCCGTTCCTCACAGACGTTCTTTGCTGCCTTCACAACAAAGCACGCTCTCCTGCGGGCCAGGTTCTCTCCCACACCCTCCTCGACTTCTCACACAAACTGTAGACTTACCAATTACGTCATCAAAATGCAGGCCTACGCCATTAAGCTTAAAGAGATAGCCGGTCCGAAGCGGTGCGCGAGTTTGAACGCGCGCACGCTAAATGTCCGGAGGGGAAGACAGCCTCTCGGCAAGGGGCCCATTACTCTCGCTCAAATTCATTGTGCTGCACTCGACAAAACGGAAGTTACAGACGCCGTCTCTGTCGCGTCCGCGGACTCGCTCGGCGTCGGTTCCGCTCGGAAAGTCGACGGCAGCCCTCGAAGAACATCTTCCCGGGGTTTACTGTTTGAATAAAGCGCTCTCTTCGCAAAACGATGCGCAAGCTTCACGTCTCGACTAATTTAGCGTTCGCCAGACCTTTGTATTCATTTCCAGCTGGATGACCAAAAATACAAGAGCTCCAGAAAATTAATTACCTTTCGCATACCATCTCATCTGGGCTAAACCGGTCTACGATTCGCCATAATAAAACGTGTTTAACATATAAAGCTAGTTTTATGTGCCCTAAACATTGCATGTACATTTAATTAAAATAACACCCCCACTTTGATGTTCATTACATTAACCAAATGAACTTAAACAAGCAGACCAAGCCCGGTTGCACTGTATACGTCATACGCTGTTTTCAAAAAGGCGAGTACTTTTAATTTTCGTCGCTCCACCCGAAGCGAGGCGGAGGTCTGCGCGTTCGTTTTGGCATCCCCTGCCACTGGCACTCCGCGTCGCCCCCCACGCCCCGCGTCGCCCCGGCCGCCCGCGGTTTAACAGCGCGTGGCCTGCATTTTGTGCGGAGCGCCCGTCCCAGGGCGGGCGCCCCGCCCGCGGCTGCTACTGTACATATGCCCTAGACAGCACGCCGCGTAGTAGATAGAGCAATGTATTGTAAAAATAATTGTACTTTTTTATAAGAAACAAATAAACGTTGGAAATCCATATCGTTATTAATATGCGAGTTGTTTATTTCTTTTTGTCCAGGAATGTCCAATTGCCATCCATTTTCCTAAGCCTTAACCTTTCCATTCATAAAGCACGATTCTAATCGTATTTGTAAATTCACCATCCATGATGATTTTAAGCTCTGATTGAAAGACACATTCACATTTAGAAATTGTTTCCTAATTCCAGATTATACCTTTTAAGTAACAGTAAATATAACCCTTTTAATATAATGGACTCAGAATATAAAGAAGAAATATAATTCATAGTTGTACCAACAGGATTGAAATAAAATACTCGAAAAGTTAAATGCTAGTGCAGTTTTCAAGATAATAAAACTAAAAGTATAAATTTCAGGAGTTTTATTTTACAAGGCAAACTTTATAGGGTACTGAAAGAGGTCGCAAAACATTAATAATCACGTTGAATTCAAAAAATCTTGATCATATATTGGCGTATTTTATTGAGACGTGTTATGTGGTTTTAAATAGGTTATCTATCCTCCGTTCAAATTTAAATGCATTTTTTCAAAGGTCAATTTTATTCAACACACAATAGTCATAATTATAATGCATTCAAAATGTTCCCGGAAAATGAACGAATACACGATAAATTGCTTCTCCTATACATTTACCTAAAAAATAATATATATCTTTTTTGTTTCAATTATTAAAATTAATTCCATTCATTCTCAATCAATTAAAAATTAAATTCATCAGAACATTAAATCATCATTTGTTTAATGATATTTATTACATGAAATACAAAATTGCTAAGTTATCGAACCAATCAATCCCCAATTTTTGTGAACGACATCTTACGGCCCAAGAAAGGAAAGCTACTCGGCCTTTTTTCTTGCAACTCACTAAAACACGAAGAGGAATCAGAAAATCAATTAAAAGATGTGAATATTGTGTGAAGTAATAACAAAGGAATATATTTTGTAAAATTCAGTAGTCATATTAACTATTTTCTTAGGATAAGTTATGTAGGATAAATAAGTAAGGATAGTTTTTAAATGTGCATTTAAAGGATTTATTTTGTACTCATTAGATATCTGAAAAAGTTTTGATGTGTTCTGAAAAACGCCAATGTTGCTAGAGGTGAGAATTATTTACATTTGAAGGATGTTAATTCTTTTGTTCTGATGGCGCTTAAGTCGATGTAGTCACAGTTTACGAAAAGTAACGTAATTATTGAAATTTATAACTTGTAAAAAGTTATTAGAATTGTGGATTGTGTAATTTAGATGTCGATGTAGTCACGGTTTACGAAAAGTAACGTAATTATTGACATTTATATCATGTAAAAAGTTATTAGAATTGTGTATTGTGTAATTTGGATGTCAGTAGTTTTTGTTGAGAAGTGTTCAAAAAGTAGTAAGCACAAAAATTAACTAGTTGAATTCTGGCATCCCTTTGTGTCTTTAAACCCTCACCTTTAGAGAAAAAAACATAAACAAGCTGTTTTTGTTGTTTTGAAACAACTGAATCAGATAATTTATCAAATAAAGATGAAGTATCGAAATCTTTTGATGGCTTTACAATTAAGTGTACAAGGTAAATTACTACGTATAATGGTAAAATTCTCAAATTCTATCATCTGAAAAGAATTCTCGGTCTAAAATGTGTTAGAGTGCGGACTTGGAATTACGTCAGGTTGCCTGAGATCATCCCCAGGCATCTTCCATCTTGCATTAATCCTCTTCTTTGTTGTCTTCTGCTGTAAAAATAATCATTTCTCTCTGCCAATGGCACAATAAATCCATTCTTACGTACTTCATTTACAATTTATACACATCACATTTATCACTGAAATATTGAAATCAAGAAATAAAATGCAAGAAAATTGGACCAGAAAAAATTGTCGATAACATTTTTAGTATTCATTAAGACCGTGTT